GATGTTTTTCTCCTTTTTTCTTAGTCAACTTAGCTAAAGATTTGTCAATTTTATTGATCTTTTCAAAGAACCAACTTTTGGTTTTGTTTTTTTCTCTGTGGTTTTTCTATGAAATATTTTGTTTATTTTCCCTTTAATTTTTGTTATTTCCTTCTTTCTGTCATCTATGGGTCTAGCTTTCCCTCTCTCTCTCTCTCTCTCTCTCTCTCCCTCTCTCTCTCGTTTCTTTTTTTTTTTTTTTAAATATATTGATTTTTTACAGAGAGGAAGGGAGAGGGATAGAGAGTCAGAAACATCGATGAGAGAGAAACATCGATCAGCTGCCTCCTGCACACCTCCCACTGGGGATGTGCCCGCAACCAAGGTACATGCCCTTGACCAGAATCGAACCTGGGACCTTACAGTCCGCAGGCCGACGCTCTATCCACTGAGCCAAACCGGTTAGGGCTCTCTCTAGTTTCTTAATTTGTACAATTATGTTATTAATTTGAAATCTTTCTTTTTAAAAAATTCATAGGTATTTATACCTATAAAATTCCTTTTGAGCACTGCCATCACTGTATCCCATTAGTTTTGTTTTATTTTATATTCATTTATTTCAAGGTAATTTCTAATTTTGCCTCTTGTTTTTTTTTCACCCATTGGATTGACAGGTTATTTTTTTTTCCTTTTAGCATGCCTTTTGGCCTCTGTTTTTCTAGTGAGAAATTCACTCTCATTTGTGTTTTTGTTCCCATGTATACGTCTTTTTTTCTCTGTTTTTTTTTGTTGTTGTTGTTTATCTGTTCTTTATTTTTGCTCTTTATTGATTTGATTAAAATGTGCCTACATGTACTTTCCTCTGTATTTATCCTTTTTGGACTGTACTGAATTTTTGGAGTTGGTGGCTGTATATCTCTCATCAATTTTAGAAAGTACTTAGTAATTATTAAATATTTCTTCTACACATTTATTTGTCTCTCCTCCTTCTGGGACTCCTGTTTCATGCACATTATACCATTTGAAATTGTTCCAAGACCTTGGGCTCCTTGTCCCCTTGCCCCTGCTCTTTTTTTCTCTTTGGTTTAATTTGGGATATTATTAATTTGAGATCTTTCTTTTTAAAAATTTTGGTTATCTTTTATTGACCCTATTGACCTGTCTGCAAATTCACTGATATTTTTCATTGCCATGTCCACTTATAATAGACGAGATAGGATTCCTATCTAGAGAATTCTTTATTTCTGACATCTTATTTTCCACTTTCAGTATTTCCATTTAGTTCTTATTTTTTCTTATATTTTTTTACTGATTTCAGAGAAGGAGGGAGAGGGAGAGAGAGATAGAAACATTGGCTGCCTCCTGCACATCCCACACTGCGGATCGAGCCTGCAACCTGGGCATGTGCCCTGACCAGGAATCGAACCATGACCTCCTGGTTCATAGGTCGACGCCCAACTACTGAAGCAACGGCAGCCAGGCCATTTAGTCTTTTCATGGCTACATGTCTCTGTTGAAATTATGAGTTCTCCTGCATGTGTCAAGCTTTTATAAACTAGGTTCATAAGCATTTTTATCATAATTACTTTAAAGGCAGTGTCTAATTCCAGTATTTGGGCCACCTTGGTGTCAGCTTATATTGATTCTCTCCTCTCTCAATCATGGGTCACTTTTTTTGTCTTTTTGTGTATCTTATAATTTTTTTCATCATATACTAGACCAGGGGTGGGCAACCTTTTTGTGAGTGCGTGTCAAAACCAGCAAAATCTCTGACTTAAAATTCTTCTGCGTGCCAACCCTAATTTTTTGAGAACATGTTACGCCTACTTGATATTTCTTAAGGTGTACGTATGTGAAGAACCTTGAAGAAATAATAAAATTTATTTGAGCGACAAAAACACAGTATATGATGATGAAAAATATATTTATTTTTTAATGTATACATGTACACTGATAGTCCGACAGAAAACTTTATGACTCCGTTTGATATTATCAGTGGGACTTTTGCTACTGCATCACTGATGACAGAGATTTTACATCAGGTTTATATTTTGTGATCTTCAGAGATATGCACGAGCTACTACTTTCATCCGTCAGGCTACTCCTATTACGAGACTTAACAAAATTCATCACTGAGAACAAAGATTCACAAGCGTATGTGGATGAAACCAAAACACTGGTTGGATCTAGGAAGGCAGGGAGAGTTAAGGCAGAGGCATAGAAATTGCTCTTCCCCTCTCTCGTCAATCCATGTCTATGGTCTTTAAGATAACTTGTTATGTAAAATTATTTATCTAAGATGCACCTACACTGAATTTATCTGAAAAATAAAAAAGTCGATATTAAGAAAAAAATGTAAATGGAAGATTATAAGAGAGGGTTTCACGTGCCAGCAAAAGTTACTGGCGTGCCATGTTTGGCACACATGCCAGGGGTTGCCCATCCCTGTACTAGACATTCTCTGTGAAAGAATAGTAAATATTGGAATAAATAATACTTATCACCAGAAAAAGAAATGCCCTTCTTTATTTAAGCTGCTAGTGTGAGTTGAGTCAGTATACTAGTAATCTGTAGTTGACTTGTGTTGGGGCTGTGTTGTAACTTTAGTTTGATTCAATTTTACTATTAGTTTCAAATTTTTGAGGCAGGATCAAGACTTTCCTTTGTTAGAGCCGCATGTTTGAGCATTAGAGATCACCCAGAGATTTTCAGCTGAGCTTCACAACTGTGTTTCCACCTCTCTGAACTGTGGGAGATCTTTCTGTGTTGTTAACCTGATTGGTAGGTCTTCAAGTCACTAGGGAGTTCTCTTTGCTCTCCATTCCCACCTATGCTTTCTGTACCTTGGGAGGTCTCTTTCAGCCTTGCACCTCCTCCTTTGGCCTTTTGGGGGAAGTCACCCTGTATGCCATAATGGCTTGGCGTACTTCTAAGGTGTTTCCTTTAGATCTCTGCCCTGACCCCACACTTTGGAGGAAAACTCCAATTGCCTCAAGGTTTGCTCATCTCTCTTTTGCTTCCAGCTGTTGTTAACTAATCATGAGCCCTCTCTGATGACTATGCAAAAGAGTTGTTGAGTGGGTTAAAACTCCCACTGTGCCTGAATTTTTTAAGATTCTTATTTACTATGCCAGTCTACATGTGGCTGTTAAAATTTTGGGTTGTTTCTTGTACAGTGTTTTCTGTATTGGATTCTTCTTCCTCTTGCTGTTACACCAGGAATGAAAGCAGCCACGAATCTCTTCTCTCCTATTGAAAGCTCATCATTTCCTGGAATTAGTTCATTTAGGTCTTTTTGTTCCTTTAGCACTTTGACTTTTTTAAACTATGGTTTTGTAGTTTATAGTCATGCAGTACTTAATGATGGGAATGCATTCTGAGAAATATGTTGTTAGGCAATTTTGTCATTGTGCAAATGTCATACAATGTATTTATACAAACCTAGATGATATAGCCTATTGCATACCTAGGCTATCTATAATAATAAAAGTGTAACATGCTAATTAGACCAGACATCCTTCCGGACAACCTTCTGGACGAAGCCGCGGCAGGCGGGGGCCATGGCAGAGGCAGTTGCCACGATGGTGGGGGCTGAGCCCCTTGCACGAATTTTGTGCATCAGGCCTCTACTCCTATATAATAAAAGCCTAATATGCTAAGTGTCCAGTCGTCCATTCAACCAATCAAAGCATAATATGCTAATGATATGCTAGGGCCACTCAACCACTCGCTATGATGTGCATTGACCACCAGGGGGCAGACAGTTGACCAGTCGCTATGATGTGCACTGACCACCAGGGCTAGACAGTTGACCAGTCGACCGGTCGCTATGATGTGCACTGACCATCAGGGGGCAGACAGTTGACCGGTCTACAGGTTGCTATGACATGCACTGACCACCAGGGGGCAGATGCTCTGACCGGTAGGTTAGCTAGCTGTTGGGGTCCAGTCAATCGGGACTGAGCATGACGGGTTGGACACACCTTGGAGCCATCCTGCAGTCCCTCCCTGGCTAGCCAACCTCTCCAGCCCTGATCGTGCAGCACTGGGGTCTCTCGGCCTGGCCTGCGCCCTGTCGCAATCCAGGACCCCTGGGGAGGTGTTGCAGAGCTGGTTTTGGCCCGATCCCTCAGGCCAGGCTGAGGGACCCCACTGGTGCACAGATTCGTGCACCGGGCCTCTAGTATGATATAACCAACTGCTCTTAGACTACAAGCTTGTACTGTGTGTTACTGTATAAAAGATATGAGATTAAATCAAGCACAAGAGAAAATGATGCAATTAAGAGACTACATAAACAAAATATGTATGAGGCTGCTTCCAGCATAACATGGCATTACCGTTTTACAACATTTTTTTAAAAATATATTTTATTGATTTTTTTTTTTTTTACAGAGAGGAGGGGAGAGGGATAGAGAGTTAGAAACATTGATGAGAGGGAAACATTGATCAGCTGCCTCCTGCACACCCCCTACTGGGGATATGCCTGCAACCAAGGTACCTACCCTTGACTGGAATCGAACCCAGGACCCCTTAGTCCGCAGGCCAACACTCTATCCACTGAGCCAAACCAGCCAGGGCACAACATTTTTTTAAATAATTAGAGTACACTCTGAAATAATGATAGAAAGTATAGTATAGTAAATACATAAACAATAACATAGTTGTTATTATTATCAAGTAGTATGTACTGTATATAATGTACGTGCCATACTTTTGTACAACTGGCAGCGCAGTAGGTTTGTTTACACCAACATCACCACAAACATGTGAATAATATGTTGCACAATAACATTATGTCTGCAACATTGCTAGGTGATATAAAATTTTCAGCTCCCTTACAATCTTATGGAGCCACTGTCATTTATGCAGTTTGTCATTGACTGAAATGTCTTTATATGGCACATGACTATATCTGGCTTATTTAGGTTGTTAGGGTGAGAGAAATGATCTCATTCAATTGTCTATGAACAAAGTGGAAGTAGAACTTCTAAGTGTCTCCTTTTATATTTGTTTTTCAGATTAATATATTTTGGTGGCTATGGGTGTAGGAGACATAATGAACTCCAAGACTGTTTTGATGTTCATGATGCATCTTGGGTAAGAGAGTAATCACCATTTACATTTTCCTCTAATTTAGTGTTTGTTATCTTAAAGTTTTTAGAAATAATGAGCCCACTCTTTCTCATTTTCATTTTATATAATTGACTATGAAAAAAAAAGTGTTCTCTTTTGAATTTGGATTCAATTAGAGGAAGTTCTCTCACCTTCATGGCTACTGAAAGAGTAATTTCTTTTCTTACATAGTTAATCACTTATACCTATTGAAACACAAGTAGAGGCTTCTGTTAGACAAGTAGAGGTTTTAGCGCAACTGAGAAAACTTGCCCATAGGTAACCAGAATGGCTATTGCTGACATATACCTGCTTTTAGATATGTGTACTAGAACTAGTTATAACTCTTATTCAGGAGTGAGTGAGTAGTGATATTCATTTCCTAGTTAATCTTACTGGTTAGAGAATAAACTATAATTAATAAAAGTAGTCCTAATGTATAAAAATGAAATATTTTAAAAGATAACTTAAAAAAATTGATCCACCAAGATACACAGTAACTCTTCAGTTTTACCTTTTACTAGCATACATTATTATTGTACATTATTAATGTATATGAACATTTTGTGTATATCTCTTTGTGGGTATTTTTAAAATTTTCCATGTCTTTACATTTTTTTAGCTTTTAATATGAAATATGTTTAAAGCTTTGCTACTTATAGTATTATTGATAATTTTCAGAAATAAAACTTCCCATTGTTTAGATCTATTTTTACTCATCAGTGAAATCTCTCATTTTTTTTCTCTCTTAGTACAGTTAGGCTAATGATCATGTTCTGAAACTTTTGGTGTATAGTGGATTTTTTTGGTTTAGATTTTAAACTAAGTAAAATTTTTAGTTTGACAAGTCCTGACAACAATGATGTGTTTCTCACATACAGATAAATCTCGTATAGAGATAAGCTGCAATAGAGGATTTTAACAATCTGGAAGATTCTAAATACAATATAACTGCTAAATCTTTGCTTTGATGATATTTTTGTCTCTTAGAAGACAAAGAAGAAAGTGAGCAAATTTTACCTATAAGAGCAAATTGCTTGGTTAAGTAGAGTGATTGTAATTTTTTTGAAAAAGGATTCACAGTCCCCTAAAGTTTCTAATAGCAAAGATTAGGGATTCTAAGCATGTACTTTAGAAAAACAGATTTTAAAATATAAGTATCCTCTGTAATGTTATTTTTATTTTTTAAGATTTTTATTTTTAAGATTTTTTTAGAGAGAGAGAAAGGAAGAGGGAGAGAGAGAAATATCAATGATAAGAGAGAATCATTGATTGGCTGCTTCCTGCATGCCCCTTACTGGGGATTGAGCCTGCAACCCAGGAATGTGCCCTGATCAGGAAGCAAACTAGCAATCTTTATGTACATGGGATGATGCCCAACCAACTGAGCCACAGCAACCAGGGCTGTCCTCTGCAATTTTAAAAGAGACAATCCTTTGAGGGAATTGGAAAATTGTTAACAAGTAAATTATGACATCCTGCAAGCGATACTATGAGAAGAGAAGTTGCTGAGTGATACTGCTCTGGTCTGGGGACCACACTTTGTGAGCCACTGCTGTATGCATTAGCTTTATGACTATGGTAACAGCTGTATTTTTGTAAAAGTGTCTATTATTTAACCCGTAAATATTCAATAAAACTATAACAATAATCTAAAAGTTATAAAATCTTTTAAATATTAAAAAAAATTTGTTTTAGGAAGAGCAGATATTCTGGGGATGGCATAATGATGTTCATGTATTTGACACAAAGACACAGAATTGGTTTCAACCAGAAATTAAAGTAAGTAATATAAAATGTTATTTTTATATTTATTGATACATTTAAAATACATTTTTATTAAGTTATTTGGATTTTAATAATTGAGTTTGTAATCACATACACAGGGTTTCTCTTGAGTACTATCACTAATACTATTAATTTTTTATCGCATATTTTTTTCCGGATTAGTTAAGGGTTTTCTAGAAAAATCTTGTAAAGAGGTGCAGTCATTATTGTTTACCTACAAGTGTGATGCCCTGATTTAAGGAAGGTTATTTTAAAAATTCCTTTTGTAGGAAAAATACCACATGATCTCACTCATTCATGGATAATAGAGACCATTATAAACTTTTGAACAATAATAGATACAGAGGCAGAGCTGCCTCACACAGATTGTCAAACTGCAGTGGGAAGGCCGGGGAGGGTTGGGGGGCAGGAGGGAGGGGGGTAAGAGATCAACCGAAGGACTTGTATGCATGCATATGAGCATAACCAATGGACATAAGACACTGGGGGGTAGGGGAAGCCGGGGTATTGTCAAGGGCGGGGAAAAAAAAAAGGACACATATGTAATACCCTTTGTAATGCTTTAAGCAATAAAAAATAAAATTTAAAATAAAATAAAATAAAAATTCCTTTTGTAAACCAAGTTTAGGATTTGTAAAAACCCATGTTTTCTAAACCCTTGAAATCAGGGCTATATGCAATTGTAGCATGGCAAAAATACATTATTAATATTCTTTCATATACTTGTAAGCAAACAGAAATCCAATTCGTTTAAGCAGCAGTGAATTCTCACAGCTGGGAAGTATATTATGGAGGAGCTCACACAGTGGAAGAAAGCTGTGGGGATCAGGAACTGGAGCAAGTTACCCAACACCAACACTTTCCATCTCTCTTTGTCTGCTCCTCCCCATTTCTCGTTGTATGCTAGCTTTATTCTGTTTACTGTAGACTGGATGGCTCATTTAGGAGGGATTAGGGCCCTGGGCACACAAGCAGTTCTTCCTATTGGTGCTAGAAAAGGACTGTTAGTTCTAGAAAAGGACTATGGCTTTATGTGGGCATGTTCCCACTCTTCACATCAGTCCCTGTTGCCAAGGGGATGATTGGCCAGGCCTACCCTTGGGGGAGCAGCGTATTGTGACTGATAAACTCACCAGAACTATGCAGAATGGAATGCTGAACGGCCACAGCTAAAATTGTTCGCTGTATGCATCCATGACTGATATTCCTTGGAGTCCAACTTCTGCTGATGTAAGTGATCAGAGGTTCAATGAAAAATAGCAAGTGTTATTAGAAGTGTTAACACCCTTCTCTGCATCCCGATTTTCCACGCAGTGCATTTCAGGTTTCCAGGGCTCTTCTGTTCTCCTCATCCCATTTCTAACTTTAGAACTAATTAACTGTCAGTCATTTATACTTGTTGATTGGCTTTTCCTTTAGTTGGCATTTGAATTTTAAGATTTGTGTCTTTTATTAATTAATTAGAAGCATTTTATTGCTGTTAAAAAATTTCATGTCAGCAAACAGGTGAAGAGAAATATTCCTTAGAGAATAAGCAAGGGGCTGGAACTGGTGAAGATATATTTTTAGAATGTGTTCCTGTGAATGAGGTAGCTGAGGTAGCTTATAATCAGTTCATTGGACTCTTTCCCTGACTCCTCTCTCACCTTAATCCATATCCCTCCCTTCTTCCTGCTCCAGCAGAAGCACATGACTTTAGCACATGACATTGGCAAATGATGTGATTTTAGTCAGTACTTAATATTTTCACTGTAATTTTCCTGATGATGTCTTCAAACAAATTTCTATATTATTTATATTATACCTGAAAGTTTTCCAACATGGTTAAAGCTGGAATCTGTTTTCTTTATTTTTTTACAGACATTCTTAAATTAATTTATTATTCCCAAGTATCTGCACCAAAAGGCCAAGCAACATGGTAGAGGGTATCAATTATTGCTGTTGAAGTTGAAAAAACTAAATTTGCATTTTTTGGGTATTTTTTTCTCTTTATTTTATTTTAGTTCTTTTCCATCACCATTTATCCCCTCTATGCCCTCCTCCAACTCCACCCACCCCTTACCTGAATTTGCATTCTAATTGTGTCATGAAAGACCTGTGTGCTTTAGACAAGCCATTTAGTGTGTCATTTGTAAAATGGAAAGTTGGAAGTGTTTTCCTTCATGGGGTTTTTACCTCTGTGAGAGCAATATACTAGTAACAGGGATCTTTGAGTTATTTTCAGTATTTCAAACAACCTAATAAACATTGTGCATTACTTATGCAGTTAGGCACACACATTAATACAAATGTTATTTCTTTGTTTTTGTTTGAAATTGTGTGAACTCAGTTTATTCAGAAGCTTTGGTTTGCTACTAAATGTATTTTATAAGTTAAAAGGAGAAATTCAATATTTATTTCATAATAAATCCTATCTAATAAGAGTAATATGCAAATTAATCATCACTCTGACACAAAGATGGTAGTGCCCATAGCCACAAGATGGTGGTGTCCAGTCCTCTCAGCCCCATTGGAGTCCTCCAGTCCTGGGGGACGGCCGCTGAGAGCAGGGCCTGCTTGGCCATCGCCCGTGGTGACCCAGGAGTGGCCAAGCAGGCCCCCCAGATTGCGCACAGCAGGGCCTGCTTAGCTGTTGCCCGCACCGACCTGGGAGTGGCCAAGCGGGCGCCGCAGACCACACACAGCAGGGCCTGCTTGGCCGTTGCCAAGCGGGCCCCGCAGACAGCAGAGAACCATGGGGAGCGGGCCTAAGCTGTCAGTAGGACATCCCCTGAGGGCTCCCGGATTGGAGAGGGTGCAGGTCAGGCTGAGGGATCCCCCCTGCCCCCCGTGCACGAATTTCGTGCACTAGGCCTCTAGTATATTTATAGTAGAAGAATTATTCCAAATTTCAGATAAGAGATGGGCTAATAATGACAATATTGTTTTGCTGGAAAGACTGGGAACCACAGCTCAAATGGTTCTCTCTCATTTATGTAAGTATTCTATAGGTACTATCTGAATTATTTCTTACCATGTTGACTTCAGCACAGTTACTAAATAAACCTGAGAAGTCTAGGGAGTTATGATATTGGATGTAGAGCTTAAGTTTCCTAGGCTCACATTTTGTAGCCAATGAGCTGATAATGTAGGGTTCTTTCAGAACTTGGAATGAAATACATACACAAAGACACCCACCAGGAACACATGAAAATTATGCATAAAATTTTTCCTTCAAATCTTATTCATCTACTAATTACACTCTCCCTTTTCCCACCAATCCAAAACTTCTCTGAAGTAAATATCTAATATATTTGTTCAAAGAAAAGTATAGAGAAGTATTACCAGTTATTGTGAAGAGTTTTAGTAAGAGATAAAGTACTATTAGTATAAGCCAAAAAATGAAATTTTTATTGTGGCATTTGAAGCACCAAGAGCTCTGGGGGACAGATTTAATTTTTTAGAGTCTCTGGGATCATCACACTGTGCATTGCTCACTTAATAATATTAACTTTGTGTGTGTATGTGTGTGTGCATGTGTGTGTGAGAAGGGGGAGTGGAAGGAAGAGGGGAGAAAAAGAATCTTTTAAAATGTCATTTTAAAATCCTTATTTTTAAGCTAAAACTTACACAAAATATTATTTTTGCTAAATAGTCTCAGGCATTTAAGAAAAATGCCTTAAAAAGTAAAGATCTGTGTGAATAAATTTCATTCTCTTTTTAAAAAAATCCTCACCCAAGAATATTTTTCCATTGATTTTTTTAGAGAGAGACTGAAAGACAGAGAGAAATATTGATGTGAGAGAAACACATTGATTGGTTGCCTCCTGCACAAGCCCTGACCAGGGCCCGTGTCAGGGAGGAGCCTGCTACCGAGGTATGTGCCCTTGACTAGAATTGAACCTAGGACCCTTTGGTCCACAGGCCGTCACTCTAGCCACTGAGCCAAACTGGCTAGGGCAAATAAATTTCGTTCTTGAAGAGTATAGTCATACCTCACAGGTATTACAGATTTCAGACCACTGTAATAAAGTGAATATTGTGATAAAGTGAGTCACACAAATGTTTTGGTTTCCCAGAGCATCTAAAATTATAGTTACACTATATTGCAGTATATTAAGTGTGCAATAATATTATATCTAAAATACTTTATATCTAAAAAATACCTTAACTAAAAAATACTTTATTGCTAAAAAATGCTAACCTCATGTGAGCCTCCAGCAAGTTTTAATCTTTTTACTGGTGGAGGGTCTTGCCTGGATGTTGATGGCTACTGACAGATCAGGACTGATCAGTGGTGGTTGCTGAAGGTTAGGTGGCTGTGGTAATTTCTTACAACAAGACAACAGTGAATTTTGCCACATCAATTGACTCATCCTTTCATGAATGATTTCTCTGTAGCATGCAGTGCTGTTTGATAGCATTTTACCCAGAGGAGAACTTATTTTAAAATTGGAGCCAATCCTTTTAAACCCTGCTGCTTTATCAGCTGAGTTTATGTAACATTCTAAATGCTTCGTTGTCATTTCAGCAGTCTTCATAGTATGTTAACCAGGAGTAGATTCCATCTCAAGAAACCACTTTGCTCATCCATAAGAAGCATCTGCTCATCTGTTAAAGTTTTATCATGAGATTGCAGCAGTTCAGTCCCATCTTCAGGCTCCACTTCTAATTCTAGTTCCCTTGCTGTTTCACCACGTCTGCAATTACTTCCTCCACTGAAGTCTTGAACCCCTCAAAGTCATCCATGAGGGCTGGAATCAAATTCCTCCAAGCTCTTGTTGATGTTGATGTTTTAACCTCTTCTCATTAATTACAAATGTTCTTAATGGCATCTAGAATGGGGAATCCTTTCCAGAAGGTTTTCAATTTACTTTTCCCAGATTCATCAGAGGAATCACAATATGGCAGCTATAGGTGTATGAAATGTATTTCTTAAATAATTATTCCTTCATGGGCTGCAGAAAGGGTGCTGTGTTAGCAGGCATGAAAACAACCTTAATTTCACTGTACATCTCCATCAGAGCTCTTGGGTTACCAGTTGCACTTTCAATGAGCAGTAATATTTTGAAAGGAATCTTTTTTTTTTTAATGCCACATGAGCTCCTGGCAGCCTAGAGTCAGGAGTAGCTTCCTTTTATTTTTTTAAAAATATGTTTTTATTGATTTCAGAGAGAGGAAGAGAGAGGCAGAGAGGAATAGAAATATCAGTGATGACAGAGAATCAGCCTCCTGCACGCCCCCTACTGGGAATGGAGCCTACAAGCAGACATGTGCCCTCATGGGTATTGAACCGTGACCTCCTGGTTCATGGGTTGGCACCCAACCACTGAGTCACACGGGCAGGAATCTTTTTTTCTGAGCAGTAGGTCTCAACAGTAAAATTGGGCTTAAAATAGTCAGTAAACAATATTGTAAACAGATGTGCTGTCATCCAGGCTTTGTTGTTCCATTTATAGAGCACAGGCAGAGTAGATTTAGCATAATTCTTAAGGGTCTTAGGATTTTCAGATAGTCAACAAGTATTGATTATAATTTAAAGTCACCAGCTGCATTTAGCCTGTCCTTCGAAGCTTTGCAGCCAGGCATTGACTTTTCTCTAGCTAGGAAAGTCCTAGATGGCATCTCCTTCTGATATAAAACTGTTTTGTCTACATTGAAAATCTATTGTTTAGAATAGCCACCTTCCTTAAATATCTTAGCTAGATTTTCTGGATAACTTGTTGCAACTTCTACATCAGCATTTACTGCTACACCTTGCACTTTATGTTTTGGAGATGGCTTTTTCCCCCTTAAGCCTCACAAATCAACCACTGCCAGCCTTAAATTTTTCTTCTGCAACTTCCTCACTTCTTTCAGCTTTCATAGAATTGAAGAGAGTTAGGGCCTTGCTCTGTATCAGGCTTTGGCTTACGGGATGTTTGGTCTGCTTTGATCCTGTCTCTAGATCACTAAAACTTCCTGAATATCAGCAATAAGAACGTCTCACTTTTTTTTATCATTGATGTGTTTACTGGAGTAGCTCTTTCAATTTCCTTCAAGAACTTTTCATTTTCTTTTCTTTTTTAAAATATTTTTTTATTGATTTCTGAGAGGAAGAGAGAGGTAGAGAGAGATAGAAACATCAATGATGAGAGAATCATTGATCAGCTGCCTCTTGCATGCCCCCTACTGGGGATCGAGCCCACAACCTGAGCATGTGCCCTTGACCAGAGTCGAACCCAGGACCCTTCAATCTGCAGGCCGACTCTCTATCCACTGAGCAAAACCAGCTAGGACAAGAACTTTTCATTTTCATTCACATCTTGGCTAACTGGTACAAGAAGCCTAGCTTTCAGCTTCTCTCAGCTTTCGATCTATCTCCGCTTTTGACATGCCTTATTCACTAAGCTGAGTCATTTGTAGCTTTTGATTTAAAGTGAGAGGCATGTGACACTTGCTTTCACTTGAATACTTAGAGGCCATTCTAGGGTTCCTAATTGGCCTAATTTCAATATTGTTGTGTCTTAGGGAATAGGAAGGCCTGAGGAGAGGGACAAAGATGGGTAATGGCCAGTCAGAGCAACAGTCAGAACACACACAATATTTATCTGTTAAGTTTGCTGTCTTACATGGGTGCTTTTCTTGGCACCTCCAAAACAATTACAACAGTAACATCAAAGATCACTGATCACAGGTCACCATAACAAATCCTATCTAATAATAGACAAACATGGTAATTGACCGTACGTTCACTACGCCTCCCATGGGCTAATCAGCATGATATGCAAATTAACCGCCAACAAAGATGGTGGCTAATTTGCATACTGCAGGCAGGGTGGGACAGCGCCATCCCGCCTGCCCCGCCGCCATCCGGGCCTGCTATCTGCGACCCAGTGCGGCGGGCATCCCGTGTGGGACCCCACCCGGGGCGGCGGGGCGGGGCAGCGAAGGCTTGAAGGCGGCTCCGGCCGGAGCGAAGGCCTGGGTCCCGGGTGCCTGAGGAAAACTGGTGCTGGCAGCCAGGGGAAGGGAAAGCCTATTGCACGAATTTTATAATAATAATAATAAATAAAAATAAATATAATAATAATAAAAAGAGTTTGAAATATTTTGAGACTTACCAAAATGTGACACAGACACCAAGTGAGCAAATTCTGTTGGAAAAATGGCATTGATGGACTTGCTTGATGCAGAGTTGCCACAAACCTTCAATTTATAAAAAAATGCAACATCTACAAAGCGCAATAAGGTGAAGCACAATAAAACGAGGTATCTTACTATTTAGAGCAGTGATTTTCAACCTTTTTCATCTCATGGCATGCATGAACTAATTACTAAAATTCTGCAGCACACCAATATATATATTTTTTGCTAATCTTACAAAAAAAATTTGGTATAATTTTGATCCATTCACACCAGACATCTATTGTTGTGGTGACTTGTCATTTTTTCCTCATTGATTTTTAGAGAGAGAGTAGAGGGAGGCAGGGAGCAGGGGAGAGAGAGAAACATCAATGTGAGAGAGACACATCAATTGGTTGCCTCCCGCACGTGCCCCAACCAGGGTTGGGATCAAACATGCAACCTCAGGTATGTGCCCTTGACTGGGAATCAAATCCACCACCCTTTGGTGTGTGGGCCGGTGCGCTAACCACTGAACAACAGCTGTTGTCATTTTTTTTAAAAACAATCCTTTTTAAAAAAATAATATATTTTTAAAATACATTTTTATTGATTTTAGAGAAGAAGGAAGAGGGAAAGAGAGAGAATCATTGATCGGCTGCCTCCTGTAAGCCCTACACTGGGATCAAGCTTGCAACCCAGGCATGTGCCTTGACTAGAATTGAACCCAGGACCCTTCAGTCCACAGGGCCAAACCAGCTAGGGTGTCAGTGTTTTAATTTCATAATCTAAGAAGAGGTCAGTGTCCCTGGCTAAAAAGTCAGGTATTGCATGTTTTAAAAATTCTTGTGGCATACCAGTGTGCCTGCTGCGTCACAGTGGTTGATCACTGATTTAGAGTGGAATTGACATTAGGCTTTCTAATGGAATCACATAGGTAATGGTGACTTAGCAGTCAAGTATTTTTCATTCTAAGCATAAGAATGCGATTTCACAAGTTTCAGGTTTTGCACTGTTTTCTGCTCTCTGCTTGCAGGGCGGAGTCCCCCCACAGCCACGAGCCGCACACACGTGTGCAGTTCTTGGAAATAAGGGCTATGTCTTTGGTGGACGTGTTTTGGTTAGTATGATCTTTTTATGTGTGATGCTTCTTATAAAAACATATCCTCTGAATTTATAGAACAACTGAACATTAAAAAAATCTAGAAATGATAGTGTCCTTCAATAACTTTTATCTTCTGTTCCCAAACAGACCATAATGAATAATCACAGATAAATCACATTTTAATGAGGAGAATCCTTCACTTTAGTGTATTATTAGAAAAGTTTCATTTCTTATCATCTAAATCCTGTTAGTTTAAACTCATTTCTTCCTTTCCCCCTTGACACATTAATTTGATAGCTCTATGTTAACTTTATTAGTGCTAAGCATTGTTTCCCAATATATAAACTTATGATATTAAGTAAAATAGATATAATCTACTTTTAATAGAAACTATTTTAAAAACAAAATTTTAGCTTATGAAAGATGTAAAACACTGACCAGTTTAACACACTTTTATTTTAGCAAACTAGGATGAATGATTTGCACTATCTAAACTTAGATACCTGGATTTGGTCTGGAAGGTAAGTATGAAATGTGTTTGTTTTTACCTATAGGCATTTCTGTGTGTGTCTGTATATGTGTGTGCACCATAATCCAAATTGGGGTCTCTAAAACTGAATTATTATATTTTTCTCTTCAGATAATATGTCTAAGCAAAGAATATATAGATTAGAGTTTGTTTTTTAACCCAACTACATAAAACATGAGAATACTAGCAGTTGAAAATTGATTATGTAAAAGTACTGGTCTTATATACTATGTTCTTTAGGACTGGTCAGTAGAAGAAATAAAGGAACAGTTGAATAGGGTCATCACAGGTGAACAGATAATGGAGTGGCTAAAAGTCAGATTTTATTTATGGCTCATAATCTATATTTAGCAATAGAATAAATATGTTTAGCATCTGTTCATGTAATGAGATGAACACAGAGCTATATATTATTTCAAAGTATAAATGCTATAAAAAATGAAACCACAAGAGTGTAAAAAAAAGCAGATTATCTATAAAATCTTGCATGGAGAAGGCTTTTCTAAAAATGATATAAACTCAAAATTCATAAATTAAAAGATAGGTTGATAAAACTACTTAAGAATTAATTATTTCTGTGTTAAAAAATATACCACAAAAATTAAAAGGCAGGTTGGCAAATGCAAACAAAAAATAAATTAGAAGTAATATTTATAGTATTTCTTTTTTATGTTTGTTTGAATTACATAGTATTTTTTATTTTGAATTTTTCTTTTTAATTTTTTTATTTTTTTAATTACACTATACATTTAATATTATTTTGTATTAGTGTCATGTGTTCAGCATATACTTTATATAATATTTGTAGTATTTCTAACAGAGTGGGCTGAGATCTGCAAAACTAAGTCAGTAAAAAAAACAAAAGACAAATAATCCAATAGGAAAGTGGACAAAGAACATGAATGAGCAACTCATAAAAAACATATAAATAGGCAAAATTATTTTTAAAAGATGTTCAACTTCATAGAATATTAAAGAAAGGGAAATACTAGTAAAACTAGTTTTCACTATCAGATAAAAATAATTACAAATGACCAGTGTGTGCCAGGTTGTAACAACATAATTAGAAGAAGTCTAAATTGGTACAGTTTTTCTGGAGGGTAGTCTGGCAATATGTTTAAAATAGAAAATGGAATTTCTACTTTGATCCAGAATTTCTCTGAAGACAATAATTGGACAAGTATATTTATGTGCGTGTGCATACACAAAAATGTTTATTGCAACATTATTTATGAAAACAAAAACTTGAGATCAACCTTCATGCCCACAAGTGGGGATTGTTTAAATCATTGTACATCTGCCCAAAGGGCTGCCATGCTTCCATTAGCAAAGGAATCTACTTCATGGAAATATTCTACGACATTCTAGTAAAGTGAAAAAAATTACAGAATGGAACATATCCCATTTATAATTTTTTAAAATATATTTTTATTGACTTCAGAGAGGAAGGGAGAGGGAGAGAGATATATATAGAGAGAGAGATATATCAAAAGATGAAAGAGAATCATTGATTGGCTGCCTCCCACAATCTGGGCATGTGCCCTGATTGGGAATCGAACCGTGTCCTCCTGGTTCATAGGTCGATGCTCAGTCACTGAGCCACTCCAGCTGGGCCCCATTTATAATTTTTAATAAATATTTATATGCACATTAAAATCCGGAAACATATATACCAAATTATTGTTTCTTATTGCTGGAAAACAGGATTATATAAAACATTAAATATTTTTGTGGTTGAATGTTTTCTAATAAAAATGTTTTTTGTAGTAAATAAAAACAATAAATAAAAATATTTCCAGTTTGGAGAAAAGCAAATAACATCTTCTACAAATGGCCCATGTTCTTCTGGAGCATTCCAGAATGCTGGAGAATGGTGCCTTCTCACCTCCTAAATTAGTTAAACTTCTGTGCTTATGTTTTTACTTCTGTTTCTGTTTTTTAAGGAATAGAACAGTATTTGTTTGTAACCTTTAGTAGAGTTTTTTTTCCTGGATCTGGAATGGCTTGAATGCTTTTGTTTTGAAGCTAGAGTGAAGAGAATGCTTTGGGAAAGTCTACAACAAATAGACCAAGTAAAAACAACAACAAAAGCCCATAATACCATTGAGGAAATCTGCTGAAAACACAAAATTAAACATGAAACAACAGTTAAAGGTTATAGCCATGAAAATAATTATGTTGAAACACTTGAGGAAGTTGTATTGATTAACCAACAAGAATGATGCTGAGTATGCATTGTGAATTAACTGGGAATTAATTTTTAATCTGTGTTCTATGACCAGGTGGAATAGACACTACGTGAAAAGGTTGTTTAAACTCACCAAATAATTTTTAAAAATTTTAAATTAGTGAGAGCAGTTTTTCCCTTTAAGATTATTGAAAACCATTTATTTTAACTAACACAGCACCTAGATTTTTATATTTATATTTTTGCCACAGGATTCCTATTACTGGAGAAAACCCTAAACATCGATCATGGCATACTTTAACACCAATAGCTGATGATAAGCTTTTCTTATTTGGTGGACTAAGTGCAGACAATATTCCATTAAGTAAGTGAATTCATGTTTAGCCTACAGTTATTATCTTCTTTTTTCTAAGTTGTATTTTATACTTAAGGTATATTCCTTTTTTTCTGATTTTATGCTTTACCTTTATTTTATCCCCAACTATATGCTTGCACTGAGAATTAGAGCTGGAAGACCCCTTTGCTTCTGTAGCCTTGGCTCTCGATGTTCTCCTGTTCCCTAGGTGTAGAGAAAAGGAAGGGTGGTTGAACCTAGGTGAATTAAAGCCCCTTTCAACTATAGTAGCCTACGATTCTATCTCCTCCTGATTTTTCATCCAGATGCTTATACTGTAGGCTGGAATGGAAATTAGAAGAGCAGCCTTTTCCAGAATGCTCTGGAAATATAAGGTGGGGAGGCCTGTTGCTTCTTTCTTTGTTCCCAAACTATAAAGGAAAGTGATTAGCTAAAATTTTTAAAACTCCTGTCACTGCTGATCCCAAAGGTTTTGAAATGCAGTTTTTCTTTCAGCAGTAAAATCACACCATCAGGATAGACCAAGAATATCCATTTCTTAGTTTGACATGCTAAATGTTGTGTACTAGTATTTTCTTAACTCAAAAGTTTTCTATGGCTACAGATGTTTTCGTTAAGATAACTTATATACAATGAAAACAATTTCTATAATCTTATATAGGATTTGGAAAAAACTATATTTTTTTCAACAAAAATTTATTGAGCATCAACTGTGTATATTGCAGTCTGCTGGCCAACAAACTCCAGAGGTTGATTTGAAACAGCAGTTTCTAGTAGGGGGTGTTAACTGTTGCAGAATATTATGCTTCTTCAGTTTTTGGACATTTTAATTAAAAGAGATTTGGAATCTGCCCTACCCAGGTTGGCTTAGTGGATAGAGCATTGGCCCACGGACTGAAGGGTCCCAGATTCGATTCTGATTAAGGGCGTGTATCTTGGTTGCAGGCCTTGGTCAGGGCACTTGTGGGAGGCAACCAACCAATCTATGTGTCTCTCTCACATCAGTGTTTTCTCTCTCTATCTCTCCCTCTCCCTTCCACTCTCTCTAAAAAAAATCAATGAACAAATATCCTTGGGTGAGGATTAACAACAACAACAAAAAAGATTTGGAATCTAATAAAAAAGCTAACATTTACCCATTTCACTAGAGGTTGTTTAATATCATATCTTTATGAGCCGTTAGTGTTTTTATTTTCTTTTTAAAAAATATGTTTTTATTGATTTTAGAGGAAGGGAGAAGATAGATAGAAACATCAATGAAAGAGAAACATCGATTGGCTGCCTCCTGCATGCCCCTCATTGGGGATAGAGCTGCAACCCAGGCATGTGCCCGACTGAGAATTGAACCGGTAAACTCTTGGTTCGTGGGTCGATGCTTAACCATTGAGCCATACTTGCTGGGCAGCATTATTGTGTCTAACTCCTATTTGCTGGTTTTGGTCTTTGGCCTATGGGGAATTAAGTGTCCTAATTCTTTAAAAAGTGTTTTTTTTATTTTAAATTAACTTATTTTGCAATTATAGTTGATATACACTATTATATTAGTTTCACGTGTAGAAAAAGTGATCACCCTGATAAGTATAGTACCCATCTGTAAATGCCCTCTTAGTCCAGTCAATTTCCTCCTTTATAGATTCAGCTTAAGATGTGGTCATATGTGTCTTACATAATACTAAGAAATAATTTTTAGTTTTGTTGACTGTGATAATGGCATTGTAGTTATGTGACAAAGCTGTTGTAGGTATGTAAAAAAAATCAATTTTTTTAAAGTAATGCTTATTGAAGTATGTATGGGGAAAATGATCAGAGATTTAGAATTTGCTTTAGAATAACTGAATAACAACAATAATAAAAAGAAATAAGTGGAGCACATATGACAAAATCTGGATAGTTGTTGAGTCTGGGATATGTGTGGGTCTATTGTTATGTTTACTCTACTTTTGTATATCTCTGAAAATTTTTATGAGAAAATATGCATACACATCAGATAGCTGCATAAATGTAGCATGATAAATTTGGATAAAAATTAAAATTTTATTCCAAAGACCTAGTCTTAATTTTTGAACTGTCACAATATTGCAGGTGATGGTTGGATTCATAATGTCATAACAAATTGTTGGAAACAACTGACATATTTACCTAAAACAAGACCTAGGTAAGTTTAGAAGTTGATAAATAGTAAAATAGTTAAGAATTTTTAAAGTATTAAAATATAGCACTGAATTTATAGTGTTTGCCATTAAAACCATAAATCACCAGGAAGGATGTCTTTCAAATAAGCTTGATATTACCTAAATAATTTAATTATCATTTAAATGATATCTGATTGTTAGAAATAATCTATTCAGTTTCTACCCATATTTGCATATTTGAAACTGTTATTCTTTTAGGTAAATGCATAATCTTGCCTGATAAATATGAAAAGGCTTAAGAAAGTGAAAGTATATAATGTTACTATTTTTTTTTTAAATATATTTTATTGATTTTTTACAGAGAGGAAGGGAGAGAGATAGAGAGTCAGAAACATCGATGAGAGAGAAACATGGATCAGCCGCCTCCTGCACATCCCCCACCGGGAATGTGCCCCCAACCCAGGTACATGCCCTTGACCGGAATCGAACCTGGGACCTTTCAGTCCGCAGGCCGACGCTCTATCCACTGAGCCAAACCGGTTTCGGCCATAATGTTACTATTTTTAATAAGTAGACAAGAATGGGGTTGGCTTTAGCAATAGTTATTTGTTTATGGAAGAGGTTGAGAGCAATTTAATGGGGAATTTGCTTTTATGTTGATCAAGTAGATGGCAGGTTATTATTTTTCTATATTAAACTATCTTAATAATGTTTATTAATGTGAATTTTTTAAAAAACATGTTAGTTATTTGTGGTATATTATAGAGTATAATTTTCTACAAAAAATTGTAGAAACAATATACTATTATTAAACTACAAAGAAAACCACATTAATACTGTAATGCTTTTTTATTTTTATTTTATTTTATTTTTTTAAAGTGTATTTTATTGATTTTTCACAGAGAGGAAGGGAGAGGGATAGAGAGAAACATCGATCAGCTGCCTCCTGCACGACTCCTACTGGGGATGTGCCCGCAACCAAGGTACATGCCCTTGACCGGAATCGAACCTGGGACCCTTCAGTCCACAGGCTGATGCTCTATCCACTGAGCCAAACCGGTCACAGCTACTGTAATGCTTTTTAAAAAAATATGTTTTTATTGATATTTAGAGAGAGAGAGGAGGGGAGAGGGATAGAGAGATAAAAACATCAATCAGCTGCCTCCTGCAACCCGGGCATGTGCCCTGACCAGGAATCAAACGGGTGACCTCTTGGTTCATGGGCCAATGCTCAGCCACTGAGCCACACTGGCCAGACTCTACTGTCATTCTTATTTTTTTCTAATTTGATTGATGGTATAATAAAGATATATTCATAGGAAATTCAAGTTTAGCACATTATAATTATTATAGTTAGTAATAGATTTTATTCTTTTTCATGCCATGTATTTCAGTTTTTTTACTATAGATTATTTATACTAATGTGAAGTCAACTTAATGACATGCATTTCAGTAATTTAATATATAACAAGTAACTTGAGAAAAAGACCTGAAAATATTTAATATATCTCATTTTATATCTCTATATTAATATGCATAATATATTTAGAGTTTATCATAATTATATATATATGATTCTTATATTTTTATATATAAAAATTCATTGGAATATATTACTTTAGCAATTCTGGATCTTTTGTAATGTGTATTTCAATTTAAAGAGTTTTATATTAAGATATAGGAGCTCAGAATTCTAGTCCTTGCTCAGCTACTAGTTAGCATTTTGGCTTTGGGAAAGTCACTTACGAAACTGAGCATCATTTTCTTCATCTGTGAAATGAGGGACTTGGACTAGATAAGCTCTTTGTTCTCTTCCATTTGCTTGATTATATGAATGCATTAATTATAGACTAAAGTGGTAGTAAGAATGTTTAATTTTTAAATTGCTATTTTATATTTAAATCCTTAATGATTAAAGTAATACAACTATGAACAATAATATACTAGTTAGAACTGAGCTATGTAAAGAGATTTTTTTTAATTCAGCTTATGTGTCATGTAAATAATATGCTTTATTAGCATGTTTAGGTGATAAGTTTAGAGCAGCTGTGAGAGGACAGAAACTGTCAGTCTGTAGAAAAACATCAGGTTGCAAGCTAGATGTCACCAAAATCCAGGCAGGAAAGGCTTTCCAGTGTTCTCCGATGCTGCAGTCCAGGCCAGAGTTTCCATAAGGCAGATAAGACAGAGGCAGAGCTATCTTCAGGTATGAGGTGAGGAGGAGAACAGGTGGGATACAGTTTAGTGTAAGGAGAACATATATGTGTGTATATACTAATTTTTTTATAAAAGTGAGAATGACTTAACATCTATGTGCATTTTGTGCAAACTTTTCCAAGCTATAATTTGAAATGTAAGTTGCCCAATTCTCCTCTTGTAATTCTACAGCAGGTTTCTCAACTTCAGCACTATTGACATTTTGGACCAAATTATTTATTTTGAGAGGCGTCCTATGCATTGGAGGATGTTTAACAGCATCTCTGGCCTCTACCCACAAGATGCCAGTGGTACTGCCCCCCACCCAACCTGGAGTTATGATGACCAAAAATATCTCCATATATTGTCAAATGTCCCTATGGGGACAGAATTGCCACTGGTTGAGACCCTACAGTGTTGCACTCTCTTCTACAGGTCTCACCTTAGACAAAACGATGCTTGGTTGAGAAGCCACCTATCTAGCCATATCTGATCCTCTGTGTAGATAGCTGTCAGCAAAGAACTTTCTTAAATGTCTAAAAGATGTCTAACCAGGCGTTGGTCTTCAGAGCCTTAGGTACTATTGTATCCCATGAGCATTGCCAAGGTTATGTGACCTTCTCTCCAGTAAGTTAAGCTATTCTTTCCCACATATGAGGACTTCATCATATTCTATCTCCTTTACTCAATCTCTCTTCCCGTCCCCTTTTCTGACCTCACAACATAATCTGGGTGTTACGGATGATTAATATCAAAGCATGGTCTAACATACAAGTTGGAGAATTGGGCAGAGTATTTCCCAAACAGTCTCTACTGACTCAGTTCTATCCTGGGTCCCCAGTGCTTTTGTCATTGCTTGTGTCATGATTGTTTGAGGAAAGGAATTGATTTAACAAATTGTGCATAATCCCACTGTTTGCACTTGTGGAAGTTAAGTAAAAGGATTAATGTGCTAAAAATAAGTTATGTGACAATAAAATAAGTAATTAATGTAATTGTTTGTAGAATCTGTTGCGTCAGCAATTTGGTGTGTTAAGAGAAGTAATCAAAGTACTCTCAAAATCAAATCAATGACTTTATAAACCCTCAATTTATCTTTTAAAATTGAGAAATTTATGAGAGTTTGAGCCCCGAGAAATATTGAACTTTTTAAAACCATAAAACTATTCTTGGTAAATAATGTGAAACTGGAGATGGATATGAGCTATCACACCATTTTAAAAAACATTAGATGCTCCACTCCTTGATGAATGATTTGTTTAATCACTGAATAAATTATGCTGGCATTTTGTGTTTGCTTTTGTTAATCAAAAGTTTTTGGTCTACTACTGGATGCAGAACACCATAGTGGGCATTTTGAAAGAGAAGCATAAAATTCAATTACCCAAATTCCAGTGATGTGCTGGTAAACAGTTTACACTGCTTCCCATAAAAACAAACCAAAAAAAAGCCCTAATTTGTAGCATTTGCTGATTTCCACCATGGCCATTTCACGCTACCAGCATGTCACTGAGCATGAAGTTGGATAGCGATGTGCCCAGCTGGCTTTAACGAGCCGACAAACCAGCTCCAGCACACTATGGTAGCAACTTCTGGCCTTAAGGATCTTATAGTTTTTGTGGGGAGGTAAAGACACATACATCAAACAAAGCAGTATATAGAGGAGTTTGTCTTCAAATGTAAGGTAGATTATAAAATGAGCACAAAATGTTGACAGATGCGGAATAGAGAGGGTGACAGAGCCAGTTTGGGTTGCATTTGGGAATTTTGAGTCTTTTTTTAAGGCCCTGAGAAAATGACTTCTCATTCTAGACTAGGAAATCGGGTGAACAAAAGCCTAGAGACATCTAAGCTTCACTCTTAGGGACGCAAGTAGATGAAGTTGGCTGAAGAGAAGGTTCATTTGGGGAGAGGCAAGAGTTAGTTTTATAGGAAAAAGAAATAGCTGTTGGTCATAAATATTAGGAGAAGAAAAATGGCACAGGTGCTTCTTGATCAGGAAATGTCATGGTTAAAAATATTATATAGCAGCTATATAGTGAGAAAGATTGGAGGCAGAAAAAGGAGGAACATGTATGGTATTCTGTACCCAGAGTGATAGTGTGACAATGTAAATGAAAAGAAAATGCCAAATTGGATTTGTCAGGTGATGGGGGAAAAGAGAGCAGGAAAGAAAGTCAAAAATGATGAGGGCAGTAAGATGGCAGATAGTAAGAAGAAGAATGGGAAAGGCGGCTATTTCTGTTGGTCAGTTCATTTTTATTTTTATTTTTTAAAATACATTTTTATTGATTTCAGAGGGGAAGGGAGAGGGAGAGAGAGATTGAAACATCAATGATGAGAGAGAATCATCAATTGGCTGCCTCCTGCATGCCCCCTTCTGGGGATTGAGTCTGCAACCCAGGCATATGCCCTGCCTGGGAATCGAACTGGTGACCTCTTGGTTTCTGGATCAATGCTCAGCCACTGAGCCACACCCAGCTATATTTTTTAAATTATTTCATTTTGTGACTAAAATATTTCAATACCTATGTGATAAAGAGATTAGAAAAAGATTGGGGGATATAATGGGAAAGAGTTATTGGGGGTCATCTCTTTAATTGAAATGATATGATTTAATGAACTCTAGAATCGAATCCTCTGATGATTCTAGAGCAGTGGTCGGCAAACCGTGGCTCGCTAGCCACATGCGGTTCTTTGGCCCCTTGAGTGTGGCTCTTCCACAAAATACCACGTGTGGGCGCGCACGTACAGTGTGATTGAAACTTCATGGCCCATGCGCAGAAGTCGGTTTTCGGAAAGGAGATAGACGAAACAAGTATACAAGACGAGTGTGGATGGGAGAGTTGGAAGGGGTTGACCTCAGCGAACGTACCTCAATCAGATTGAGGACGTTTTTAGCAAAGGCCAGCTTAGGAGTACCCTAATTAAGTTAATAACAATGTACCTATCTATATAGTTTAAGTTTAAAAAATTTGGCTCTCAAAAGAAATTTCAATCGTTGTACTGTTGATATTTGGCTCTGTTGACTAATGAGTTTGCCGACCACTGTTCTAGAGGAATGTTTAAAATCTATCCTTTTTTGAAAGAGATTACATTTTAGAGTGTACAATTGATTAATATGTGATATACAGCTTCTTCCTTGGTAGTATTTCACTCTGTTTATACTTCTCAATCATAGGTTATGGCACACAGCCTGTTTGGGAAAAGAAAATGAAATAATGGTATTTGGTGGGAGCAAAGATGATTTACTTTCCTTGGATACAGTAAGAAAATTTCCTATCTAAATATTTCCTCTGAGTAATTGTGTTATTCATCCTAAATGGTTATTCAGTTATGCCCATTTCTCACATTGCAAAATATGGAAGGCATGAAATGTTCCTCTGTGGTATGACTAATCTTCAGAATAAGTGGCTGTGGAGAAGCATTTAGGACAGTGATGGCGAACCTATGACATGCGTGTCAGAGGTGACACGCGAACTCATTTTTTTGGTTGATTTTTCTTTCTTAAATGGCATTTAAATATATAAAATAAATATAAAAAAAATATAAGTCTTTGTTTTACTATGGTTGCAAATCAAAAAATTTCTTTATGTGACACAGCACCAGAGTTAAGTTAGGGTTTTTCAAAATGCTGACACGCCAAGCTCAAAAGGTTCGCCATCACTGATTTAGGATATTGTTGGTTTACAAATCAAAATAGGGCTATTAACTTCATTAGTCAAATTATTAAGAAGAGCTTTTATAATTTTATGGAATTAAAATACTTGTAATATTTGATACATATGAATATATAATGTATATTAGTACTTAGTGTAGTAAGTACTCATGAAATTTTCTACCTAGCACAGTGGTTCTCAACTTGTGGGTCGCGACCCCTTTGGGGGTCGAACGACCCTTTCACAGGGGTCGCCTAAGACCATCGGAAAACACATATATAATTACATAATGTTTTTGTGATTAATCACTATGCTTTAATTATGTTCAATTTGTAACAATGAAAATACATCCTGCATATCAGATATTTACATTACAATTCATAACAGTAGCAAAATTACAGTTATGAAGTAGCAACAAAAATAATTTTATGGTTGGGTGTCACCACAACATGAGGAACTGTATTAAAGGGTCACGGCATTAGGAAAGTTGAGAACCACTGACCTAGCAATAACTAGAATATCATCATGTTAGCTTTTTCCCTCAAGAGGAAACTACTTTGAAATGTTTAAAGTATATTTTATGTATATTTTGCCACTACTTTTACATTTCTACATGTAAATGTTTTACATTTGCATTTAAAGCATTCCACTTTTAAAATCTGATAAAACTAAGGTCAAAGGAATAAATGAGTAGCAATTGGAGAGTACTGTTCACTCCTATCACCTTGGGAAATTCAGAGCAGAGTGGCCACCTTCCTCTATATGTGGTGGGACAGGAGTCAGGACTGGTTGCCCTGGTTTGCATAGCAGGACTGAGCCTTCAGGGATGGGCTGGGTCAGGAGCCAGGGCCCAACCAAAGGGGCGCCAGCTCCCTGTCATCTCTTCAGGCGTAGCTATCTCCAGAGTTGTTCCTACTGAGTACCTGGCGAACCCTGGAATAAGGTGGGTTATCTCCAGGGAACTTGGTTTTTTTCATAGTTATGAGGCCTCCTAACTCATATATTGAAAGTTTCAGAACTTTCTTTGAGAATTCAGTGCTTCAATAAAAAATTATAACCACAACTTTGCATTTAATTAAAAATCATATTTAGTAGTTTGTCATCTTTTTATTAGCACTAGAAGTCTTAAGATACAAATTTTATCATTAAAATAGGAATTCTCATTAAAATCATGGTCATAAATTATGAAATTCTAAAGACCTAGTTGAAAGGATTAGAAAAATTTTCTGCTGACTCATCCACATTAATTTTTAGATGAGAGAATCATATTCAGAAAATCTTCTGGATCTGTGATTTCCAAATGAAGAATTCCCAGGACTCCTGGGACCACCTGGGAGGGAGTTGGGGTAAAGAGAAGATTTAAAAATAAGTCATTTGAAAGAAAAAAGTTCTGCTTAAAAAACAAAAAAGCTTGAAAACCAGTACTATTCTCATTTTGAACTCACTGTTCTAGGAGAAAAACATGTTTCTGATTTTTAAAATTGCAATTATATAGACTGTGGTTAGGTAAAAACAGGGTCACTGAAAAATGGTAACCACATATCTAACATTTGTATGGACACAGATATGTATATGTCTGTATATGTTTGTGCGTGCATGTGTACATGTGTGTTCATAGCTGGAGAGAGATTTATTTGCTGCTTTATATAATTTCTTTTACAAAATAAAATATTTAATTTTTAATGCAGTTATTTTTATCAAAAGCCTTGATAACTTCTTTTTATGTTGATTAGGGTCACTGTAATGATTTGTTGATCTTTCAAACACAGCCTTATTCACTACTCAGGTAAGCAATTTTATTTTTCATATATATGCTATTAATATATGATAATTTCTTCCTCATTTTGGGAAAGCTTTGTAATATTTTTCCCCCTAACAATCATCCAAGGATATGCTATTATTGATTTTTTAGAGAGAGAGGAAGGGAGGGAGGGAGAAAGAGAGAGAGAAAGAGAGAGAAACATCTGCGTGAGAGAGAAATATCAATTCGTTGCTTCCCATACGCACCCCGACCTGGGATCAAACCACAACCTTTGGTATATGGGACGATGCTCCAACCAACTGAGCCAACTGGCCAGAGCAGCTTTGTAATATTTTTCAGGTAGCTTATGACTTGAATTTAAGAAAATGTTTAAATTGCTCTAACAATAGCCATGGCCGGTTTGGCTCAGTGGTTAGAGTGTCAGCCTGCAGACTGAAGGGTCTCAGGTTTGAGTCCCAGTCAAGGGCACCCTACCTAGGTTGCAGGTTCCCCAGTCCTGGTGGGGGCTCATGCGGGAGGGTGCAAGAGGCAACCAATCGATGTGTCTCTCTCACCTCGATGTTTCTCTTTCTCCTCCTCGTCCTCTTCCTCATCCTCCTCCTCAACCTCCTCCTCGTCCTCCTCCTCCCCCCTTCCACTTTCTCTAGAAATCAATGAAAAAAAATATCCCGGGTGAGGATTAAAAGAAAAATTTGTCCTAAGAGTATAATCAAATTTGTAATGATGAACCAACCATACACCAATGTTATTTTTAAAACTTAAAATACACAGTATAGTCATATTTTTGCTTAGCTTGTAAAATTGCATTTAGTTCATATGGGAATATTAAACATACTGTATTTCCTTGATTCTAAGCCTGATTTAACTTCTCTGAACTCAGAGTGTAAACACACATAGATGCATTTAATTTAGTAGAATGTTTTTTATAATCCCAAAGCTGTTATTAAATTGGTGCTATGACTTATAGTGTCTTAGCTCATATACTTCTGCTTTAAAAGGAGTAAATACAAAGTTTAGTGGGAGGATTGTGGAAGAAGACCCTATTTCTGCCTGAGAGAGTTGGGAGGAAGGATTTGAGTGAAGTAGAAGTTGCCCAGTGAAGAACTGTAGGTTTTTATGCAGTAGGAATAACATGGGTGAAGGCATGAGAGAGAGAGAGAGAGAGAGAGAGAGAGAGAGAGAGAGAGAGAGAGAGAGAGAAGGAAGACATGCTGTATGTCAAGGACTATACTATCACTTCCAGACGTTCTACAGCTTGAACCACTCGAACACCAATGGACTAGCTTAAACCGGACCTTCCTACAGTCTTTCGTAGCTGCTCGTTTCGTTAGTGCAGTGTTTCCCACACTTGCTGCACATTACACTCTCATGTGGAACTTTAAAACTTATTGATGCCTGTGTTCCACTCCCACAGATTGTGGTTTCACTGGGTTGGGGTGTAGCGTGGACTTCAGAATATTTGAAAGATCCCAAGGTAATGCTATTGTTCAGGCAAAGTTTTGAAGTAGATACTGTTATGATTTTATACTGCAGAGTATTGTTACTTAACTTTTACCATGAACATAACTGCTTTCCCTAAGTAGATTGCAAGTTCCTTATATCCAGGGATCAAGAAGTACAATATTCAAGTGCCTACCATAAGACGGCATGGTGCTATGAAACGAAGTCACGACCTTCCCCGTAAATTGCTGATAATATAGAAGGCAGGCATTCAAACAACTACAGTAGAAAAAGGGGAAGGGGGACCCCAAAAAATGCATTTTTAACGATTGAAGGGAAGCCATACAATTTTTATTTTCCCCCATCCATTTTATTTATTTTGTACATATTTGTAAGAGGAATGGAAGATAGGAAGAAGTGGTGATAAGTAGTTATAGAAGATGTAACAACAAGGAGTTATATACTTAAGTTTGGCTGTAAATTTTCTGTAGTACTGAAAGTTACTATTTGTCCCAGATTTTTCAGGGAAGTTATTGTCTCAAATATCTTATTACATTGAAGTTTATTTTTCCTGTTTAAGCCTGAAAAATATGATCACTGTAAGCATATTCCTATTTATTAAATAACTAGTAGCCGGGTGCACAAAATTTGTGCACTCGAGGGGGGGGGTCCCTCAGTTATTAAACATTTTACAGCACAACACTGACCACATTGGTGGAGGTGGTGGTCTTGTCAGAATGTGTTATATTATGCAGATGGAAATCTATTTAAACAGATTTGATGTAGATATTTTCAAAGATGGAAGAATTGTCCCTGTCAACTATTTTAATTGATTCATATCTTCAGTAATTGTCATCATTGCAAAGTTTTCAGTCACAATATAGATTGCTGGATATAATAGGTCATGCGCTGTCCCTGTCCTTTGTAGCTTTTGTTATCTTAAGGACTCTAGTTTTCCATTTATATGTTTAAGTACCAACCTTACCGGCTTAAAAATGTAAGCTTTTAACACTGCTCTCTCTGTTCCGTATCCTTCCGATAAAAAGTGGAATTGGGTTGCAGCACAGGAGAGAAATTCAGAAGGGGAATATTGTAGTAATGACTACAGTAGGAGAAGAGGAAACCTGTTTCCCTGGCCACAGGCGTTGGCGCCCTGGACCACAGGGCTGGTAGCTTCTCCGGGTGACTGCAGCCTGGGACCTCTGGCCAGTAGCTTGTCCATCTCCTGGGCTGCAGCCAGCCCCAGGCGCTGGCTCCAGGACCAAAGGTGGGCGGCTTCTTCTTCTGGGGGCTTCTTCTTCTTCTGTGCTTCAAGGGAGGGTAGTCAGTTAAGTGTCATGCAGAAATAGGCATCACCAATTGCAGAAGCTAGGTGTGGGGCAGGGAAGCCCCAGCCAGGGAAGCTGGCTGAGGCTGCTTCCCTGCCCACGCACCTGGCTTCTGTGATCGCCCCTGCACTGGGCTTCTGAGGTCACCCATCCCAGAAGCTGGGTGCAGGGCAGGGAAGCCTCGGCCAGGGAAGCTGGAGCACCCAGTTTCTGCGGTCATGGATCGCAGATCGCAGAAGCTGGGTCTGGGGCAGGGAAGCCGAGGCCGGATACGCTGGGGGCAGACGTTTCCCTGACTCGCACCCAGCTTCTGTGGTCACGGATCGCAGAAGCCGGGTGCGGGGCTGGGAAGCTCCCGGGACTGCAGCTTCGCCCGTGCCCAGCTCCCATCCCTGGCTCCACACCTACTTCTCGCTATCACTGGCCAGGGCGGCAAAGGTGCCCGATTCTCCGATCATGGCCGGCTTTGCCCTGCACCCCGGCTCTTAGCTCCCCCCTGGGTTTCCAATCACTGTCAGTGGCAGGGGGCTTCTTCCTGCTTTCCCTTTCGCCTCCCTGCATTGTGCCTACATATGCAAATTAACCACCATCTTAGTTGGCAGTTAATTTGCATATCGCCCTGATTAGCCAATGAAAAGGGTAGCGGTCGTACGCTAATTACCATGTTTCTCTTTTATTAGTGTAGATAAAATGAATTAGTTTGGGAACCACAAGTTGTGAATGGGTGACCTTTTGAGGAGCCATCACACTTTGTTCTCAAGACCACCAGTTAAAAAAATCCAACTATAGCCCTATCCGGTTTGGCTCAATGGATAGACCATCGGCCTGCAGACTGAAGGGTCCCGGGTTCGATTCCTGTCAAGGGCACATGCCCAGGTTGCGGGCTCAATCCCCAGTAGGGGGCATGCAGGAGGCAGCCAATCAGTGATTCTCTCTCATCATTGATGTTTCTCTCTCTCCCTCTCCCTTCCTCTCTCTGAAAAAATATATTTAAAAAACAACAAAAAAAACCCAACTATAGTAGAAAAATAAAAATTGCTTTAAGAGGAACATATAGAAAGTTTATGACAATACTAGAGAAGAAGGCTCTCTGTCCATGTGGTTAAGAGTATGGCCAGGTGGCTCAGTTGGTTGGGCATTGTCCTGTACACCAAAAGGCTACGGGTTTGATTCCCAGCCAGGGTACATACCTAGGTTACGAGTTCAATCCCCAGTTGGGGCGCGTACAGGAAACAAATGATCGATGTCTCTCTCTCTCTCTCCATCCCTCCCTCCCTCACTCCCTCCCTCCCTCCTTTCCTCCCTTCCTCCCTCCCTCTCTCTCTAAAAAGAAAAAAAAAACTGTAAGAAAATATCCTCAGGTGAGGGGTTAAAAAAAAAGATTGTGAAGGTTAGGGAAGTCTTTACAGAAGAAGAGTTTGAGACAAGAATTTGCTATGAACAACCAGTGCAGAGGACACTGAGTTCTTGAGTATTCCTGGGAAATAAGTACGAAGGGGGAGTTGTAAGAAATGAGGTTGGGCGAGAAATCAGAAACCATATGTCATCTAGGTCTTTGTCTCTCGTTGTAGGAGATCAGGAAGCATGAGAAAATTTGGAGCAGAGGAATGAGATGATCATATTACCAGTTAGAAAAGCCCTCTGGCAGCAGTGTGGATGAGAGACTGACTGGAGGGTTATGTGGCTCGGTGAGGAAAGTTGGTAGAGACTGCTGCAGTTGTCAGGCACAAAGTGAGGGTCTGATCTGGAAAATGGCAGTGGAGCTAGAAAAGGGAGGGAGATGGGAATATTTAGGAGGTAAAATGGGCTTGGGAATGGATGCCAAGGGAAAGAGGTGGAAGGATTAGCAATAGAGAGAATAGGGAGAATGCAGTGGATTTCATGGTGGGATGGGGTGGAAATGACAAATTTGGTTTTGGACATACTGCGTTTGGAGTGCTTATGGGACCTCTAAGTGGAACTATCCATTAAATAGTTAACATATGGAGAGAGGTCTGGGCCCAACATAATGATTTAAGAATTGTTGGAGTATAAATGGGTATGGGTTAGTTCTTCCCAGAACGAGTTTTGAGAGTAAGGATGAAGCCAACAGCTGAGCATTGAGAGCTTATAACGTTTGAGGAGCAAGTAGAGGAAAAGGAGGCATAGAGAGTGACCCGAGACATCAAGGTGAAGCAGGAGATGATGGAAACACAAAACCTGAGGGAGGGAAGAATTCAAGATGGAAAGACTATTCATTGTAAAGAGGTCACGAAG